AAACATCGATGAGAGAGAAACATCGACCAGCTGCCTCCTGCACATCTCCTACTGGGGATGTGCCCGAAACCCAGGTACATGCCCTTGACCGGAATCGAACCTGGGACCTTTCAGTCCGCAGGCCAACGCTCTATCCACTGAGCCAAACCGGTTTCGGCCAGACTATTTGTTTTATTTTTATTCTACTGTTAGGAAATAAATCCTAGGTTTCTACCACATCGTTTCTTTTTTCACTTCATGACGGGAGATGCCCCACTCCGTTTTGCCAGGATACCGTTTAAACTTTGTATTAGGGTTGCCAGGGCGTGTCTGTATCACACCAGTTTTCATTCAGTGAATTCACACAAGGAGAACGCACCTGTTGCCTTATTTCCAAAACTGTAAACTGGGGGCCCCAATGAGCCTCTAGTTTCAGAGTTCTGTGATTCAGTGATCAAAGGCATTTCTGTGTGAATTCTTGTCTTAATGATCTAGTTAGAGATGCTGAACTCTACTTATTATGTCCCTGTAGTTACTGTTCATGCGTAGAGATGCCATTCTAAAACCTAAAATGTGTTTGCTTTTCTAGTCCTGTATCAAATCAGCCACTTTTATCAGAATCTGTAACATCTTCCCAAGGGGATAGCACATCTGAGGACAAAGCAGCGCCTGAGACAGAAGACCTGCAAGGTTTGCATACGAGCCGGCGTCTCCTTTGTCATTTATGTCACATGTGACTGATGGGTCGGGCACTGTCCTGCGTGCATATAGTTCCTAAATCAGTTGCCTCAAATATTCTCACATTCATTTTCCTTCTGAGCAGAGTGTTTTCTCAAGTGTTTAACTGACGGAGATGCATCATAGGCTTAGCAACATCACATTTTGTTTCGTCTGACAGATACGTGGAACTGAGTGTGTGGTCGTGTTATTTGATTATCTGTAGTTATTTCAGCGAGTTTAGCCTAAGTGCTGTTTCCTCTCCAAGCAAACTGGGGCAGCTGGATTGAGAGGAACCTCCTATTTTTGACTCCGATTTCCTAAGAGACTCTTGAACTGGCCTGGCAGTCCCCTCTCCCCACCCGTGACTCATGGCGCACAGGCGCATGCGTTGCTGGCATTTTCAGGTGACGTCTCTTGTCCTGGCCCCTCCTCTCTGCGTCCCGGTCGTGGGTCCCAGGGACCTAGGAAGATGTGGAGGCGTGTAGAAAGGCTCTTAGCCACAGAGATCGTAGAGGAGGCATTTGTTCAGTGGCCCGTGTTTCCTGAGCTAATTCCCCTGGTGTGTGAAGTGAAGACAGGCCAGGGATGCACGGTGCGTCCTGTTGCCCGTGGGACACTTTCAAGGGGAAACCTTCCATTGTACATGGTGTGTGCATGGTGATGACGGGCACATCCGTCCCTCTCCGCCTCCGTTTGCTCAAGTTTAAATCTGTTAAGACAGCGAATCCCCCTGCTCTGACTTCTTGGCCAACAGATGATTGGCAGCCTGCCTATCTGTCAGTTTTCTATGGCAAGAAACCATTCTAGTCCTTACAAACTCACCTACGCTGATAAAAGAGAAAGATGCAAATTGACCGTACCTTCATGATGCCCACCAGCCAGTCAGGAGTGTGTATGCAAATTAACCCAACAAAGATGGGTTAATTTGTATACACAGGCGCCGAGAGGCTGGATGCCCCAGCTGCTCCAGGCCTCTAGGCAGCATGGGAAGGCGGAAAGGTGGCTCCTGGCCAGAGCGAAGGCGGAGCCGGCAGCCAGGGGAATGAAGGCCCATTCTTGCACGAATCTTAATGCATCAGGCCTCTAGTAGATATAAGTGTATAGTTTTATGTTTTAGCTGAATAGAAATGTTGAAGGAAGGGTAGAGATGAGGGGTATTTTAAAACTAGTAATGGGAAAATTCCCCAAAACGTAGTTTCCCCTGGACGTGTGAGGTAAGATGGGGGTGCTGGTGCGGTCAGGTCTGTGGCGTGGCGTGTGCCTTAGGCTGGGAGGTGGAAAGGAGCAGCCTGGTTCGACAGGTTTCACATAGAGAAAGTGGAAAGGAATTGAATTTCAATATTAAAAGCTCCTTTGGAGGTGACGGGGGGAATTTTGCAGCTTCCCAGCAGCAGAACGAAGGCCTGTCCTGAGGTGGTGAGCTCCCCGTCACAGGAGCATTCTAAGACAGCGGGTCGTTGCCAGGCTCAGGGCAGAGCGAGGCGGGGTCTCGGACTCTTTCCATCTCTGAGGGTTCCCGCCTCCATACAGAGTGGAATCATTGAGTCAGTGGTTCAGACAGTCAGAGAGGAACAGTCCCTTCGAACTAATTTAGGAAAGCTGCCTGGATTCAAAATCACATTTATCCTGGTTGTAAAGAGTGGGTGAGAAGAGCCAGAATAGTCTAGAAAAAGTAGAGCTAAGTTGGCGGAGGACTAGACGACACGCCACCGTAATCAAGACTGTGGTGCGGGCATGAGGGTCGTCAGTCAGAAACTGGAAGCGTGGCCGGAGCCTTACTCAGAATTATCACAGTGTGGGGACAGCCCAGTGGCCATCAGCAGGGAGCGGACAAACACGTGCACAGGGTGCTATTCAGCCGCCAGAAGGGATGACGTGCTGGTCCTGCTACCACGGGGCGAACTTTGAAACCTGCTAAATGCAAGGACCGCGGCAGGAGGCGCCTGCTGTGTGCGTCCAGGTGTGTGGACGGCAGGTGCGTGAAGAGGAGAAGAAATGGCGAGCAGAAGCGCACAGGGCGGGAGGCTGACATTGGGGAACCGGCAGTGAGAACAGGCTCTGGGGTGGCCGTGTCAGGCAGGTGGACGGGGCGGAGGCTGACATTGGGGAACCGGCAGTTAGAATAGGCTCTGGGGTGGCCATGTCAGGCAGGTGGACGGGGCAGGGAGCTGACACCGGGGAACGGGCAGTGCGAACAGGCTCTGGGGTGGCCTTGGCAGGCAGGTGGACGGGGCGGAGGCTGACATTGGGGAACCGGCAGTTAGAATAGGCTCTGGGGTGGCCATGTCAGGCAGGTGGACGGGGCAGGGAGCTGACACCGGGGAACGGGCAGTGCGAACAGGCTCTGGGGTGGCCTTGGCAGGCAGGTGGACGGGGCGGGAAGCTGACGCCGGGGAACGGGCAGTGAGAACACAGGTTCAGGGTGGCCGTGTCAGACAGGTATATGTTGGAACTAGAGCTGGAAAGATGATTTGGAACCAGATTGTGGGAAATCCTAAAGCTACTTGGTTCTCACCCGGGGTCAGGGAGGAGAGCTGTTTGTTTAAGAAACACAAAGTGGGCCCGGCCGGGTGGCTCAGTGGTTGAGCATCGACCTATGAACCAGGAGGTCACTGTTCCATTCCAGGTCAGGGCACAGGCCTGGGTTGCAGGCTTGTTCCCAGCAGGGGGCGTGCAGGAGGCAGCCGGTCCATGATTCTCTCTGCTTGATATTTCTCTCTCTCTCTCTCTCTTCCTTCCTCTTTGATATCAGGAAAAATACATTTCTAAAAAGATAAAGGAGAAACGAAGTTGTATTGTAAAGAGATTCATTCAGCAGTTTTTGCCCCCAGGTAGCTGCTGGTGGAAACTGGTCTCGTTGGCACAGCTGCTCTGCCCCAGACGGTGGCCACCAGCTCGAGTGGCTCGGGCACTGGAATGGGCTGGTCTGAAAGGAGCTACACAGTTAGCATTGAATGTGCTTGCGAGCTACACTGTGAGCTTCACGTATGCTCTGGGTTTGAAGACTTGGCACCAAAAAACATGAACTATCGTTTCATTAATGTGGTTCGTATTGATAACGTTTTGAGTGACAATGTATATTGATTACCCGTCTTGTTTTTTAATGTGGCTGCTAGAAAACAGAAAATTACATAGAAGACGCCCGTGTTTCTTTTGGACCCTGATACCAGACGGGCCTATTTCTCTCTCTCTTTTTTTATATATATATTTCATTGATTTTTTACAGAGAGGAAGGGAGAGGGATAGAGAGTTAGAAACGTCAATGAGGGAGAAACATCGATCAGCTGCTTCCTGAACACTCCCCTCAGGGGATGTGCCTACAACCAAGGTCCATGCCCTTGACTGGAATCGAACCTGGGACCCCTCAGTCTGCAGGCTGGCGCTCTACCCACTGAGCCACACCAGTCAGGGCAGGCCTATTTTTCTCTAGAATGTTTACAATGTTCCCTTTTGGCGAGGAATTTTTGAGCTGGGAGGCACTTAGAGGTCATTTGGCCCAGCCCCTCCTCCTGCATGTGGGGACCAGCGGGCGGTCCAGAGAGGGAAGTGGGCTCCATGGCCGTGGCGATGGTAACGTGTGCGCTTGCCCAGTAGGCGTGTCGAGCGGCTGCTCCGTGTCCCCGGGGCGGGGCATGCATCCGAGCAGGAGAGCAGGAGAGGCTTGTCGTGGCTCCGGGAGGAGGGATACACGTCCTGTGACGTGGACACTGGATCCATGTGATGTTCCGTTTCAGTCCTCCCCCTGCGGGTGCACATGCCCAGAGGCAGTGCTGACGGCTGTATGTCCTCATGGCTGTATTCGTGTCCTTCCTCCCTCCCTCCCTCCCATCCTTCTGTCCTTCCTCCCGTCCCTCCTCCCGGCCCTCCTCCCGGCCCTCCTCCGGGCC